GTTTTTTTGTTTGTTTGTTTTTTAAGAGTCTTGCTCTGTCACCCAGGCTCCCAGGCTGGAGTGCAATGGCGTGATCTCGGCTCACTGCAGCCTCCGCCTGCCGGGTTCAGTTGATTCTCCTGCCTCAGCCTCCTGAGTAGCGGGGATTACAGGCATGCCACACCACACCCGGCTAATTTTTGTATTTTTAGTAGAGATAGGGTTTTACCATGTTGGTCAGGCTGGTCTTGAGCTCCTGACCTTGTGATCCACCCGTCTCAGCTTCCCAAAGTGCTGGGATTACCAGGCATGAGCCACCGTGCCCAGCTAATATGAAGATATTTAAATATAAGTTAGGCATATCAATATCAGACTATTATTTGATATAAATACAATTTGAATGAATTGCAAATCTGAGATGCAACGCAGGAAAAAAATTATTTTTAAAACTCCAGTGTCTATTAGCTACTTTAGGGAAAATTAAGAAAACAAAACACGTTACTGCAACTGGTTATATCAATAGAATAGAAACATTACATCAGAAAATCAGGGGTGCAGTTTTAGATCTATAGCACTGATTCATGCTGCCATTTTGTGATTATGACTGCTAATGTCATATTTGAATTAATAAAATCAAGTTTCTGTCAGATTTTTAATTTCAATGTTTTTATTTTGTCACTTATCCGTCAAATGTTGAGAACCTACTATGTGTCTGGCATTGTGCAAGGTGTTGGAGATAAACACAATGCTGGTATTGTGTCAAAATACTGGGAACTCTCGATGGCTTTTATATATTACCATGTAACTATGTAAAACGCTTAACACACAGAAAAATTCCTAATAGCACTGACCTTAAAAACAACAGTTATTGTAGCTGATGTCTTGAAAATATTGAAAAAAATCCTGTGAAATTCTGTTTTACAGAACTATGTTCTGTTTAATATGTTATTTGTGGTATTGGCTAGTGACTCATATTTGCTATAGTTCCATTCTAAAATTATTTTCAGAAATATAATAATGTGTCTTTGCCATTTAATCAAATTCAGATTAAATTTACTATTTTAGCAGTTATGGTCAGTCTGACTTATTGTAGCATCAGATATTCAGAGCTGATCCTGGTCTTCCCAAAATCAGATACTAGTCAGCTGGCAAATTGCCAGATGGCTAATTTATCAAAACCAGAGCAAATAAAAACAGATATCCATGAACTTTGATGCAAATCATTTTGTTTTACAAATGAATCTCTTGCTTTTCATAGACTTTAGGATTCTAGATTGCAGTTTTGTAAATAGAGAGTTATCTTGCTACCTTTAATATTCAGCTCTGTAAATTGTTTATTATATAGTTGTTTGTTCCAAAGGGGTTCCTTACTATAGCTTTTTATTGACTGCAGGCTTACAAACAGATCATATGTTAAAGAAACTGATTTGGAACTGCTGGGTTTTTTAAAAAAAATAAGGTTTAAATAAAATGATTTGGAACACCTATCATTTTAAGGTTAACATATGCTATAAGGCCCTACTATGACCCAAAAATGGGAATGACAGTGTGCTAATGAGTACTTTAATGAGATATAATTATATTGCACTTAGACTCAGTGAGAGTTTCCTAATGGATGGTCAAGGATATGACGACTGTATATATTCTGAAAAATGAAGAAAAATTAAAAATAATTACTCGAATTTCTAATTTCACTTTATAAGTGACAAGATAATTTTTACGTATAGTTCAGGATTTTAGGATTGATCCCTGCCACTTAATGCATTACTATAAAATGACTTTTGTTCATCAACTTATTTCTATAATTCATCAAGTTAACCTAAATACCAGCTAATACTGAAGCTAGATCTGTGCTCAGAAGCCTCAGCATGGCTAATGCAATCTCACAAGTCAGGTAAAAGATCTTCTATATAAGTCACTCATAAATTAATAAAAATGTTTATGGAAACTATTTACTCTAAGAAAATTAGAAGACTGTTAAAAATACAAAATAAAGGGAAAATTATCGTACTTTTGTAAAGTATGAATTTATCTTGCTTGAAGAGTTAAGTCTCATTCTCCATGGTTAACGCAGGATTGCTCATACCTTAATGAAAGAACATAAGTTAGCATTTTTGGTTGCTTTTGAACAAATAAGCAAAAACTTGTTATTCATCTATGAGTTATGAATCCCTTGGTAGACTTCCAAAGGTGCCTTGTACACAATAAGGGTATATATAAGATGGTTACATAGAAACACACACACCCCTTACACAGTGTCAGTTACAACCACTATCTCTCTCTACCACACACACAAAACACTAAAAACAAATATACATCTGAGGAAGTAGAGGAACGTAATAATGAAAGATATATTGACCCACACTGCTCACATCAGGTTACATCGACATTTCCAAATTCTTCCTCTACCAACCTCATTCTAGTCAAACCAATCTTTGAGCGCTTTCTCACCTCATT